TATTATGCAAAAATATCTAATTTTTAATATTTTTTTTAATAGTTAAAATATGTTCAGAGACTGTTAGGGTTATACCAACCCTGGAAAAGGGGGAAAGACAGGAAGTAACCAAGCAGTCTTATACATGTCTACAGGGGTAGACATATATCACAAATTATTTCATAACCTGGTCAGACAGTATTTTTTACTGGTTTTAAGACCTCACTGTCTTTAGTGTTAATATTTGCTGCCATTCCTGGGTAGCATCCAGTGATCAGGGATCAGCCCAGCAACTTCCATGAGGACAGACTTTAACTGTTGGTCACTGATGCTCTGCCTGGGTAACAAGAAATGTTCCATGTCAAAATATTGTGGAGTTCCACTCAGGAGTACTCAGGACACTCAGTAAAAAAGTGCAGTTGTTTTATCAGACCTAAAAAAACCTGCAAAAATTTACATGTTTGCTGAAGTTTCAGGAATACTCTTCTATTTTTATTTTTTATACATACATGTTATGCATGTACATATGTATGCCTTGTCAGGGACATGCTGAGTCCTGGACAACAAGCAGATGTTGGTGATTCTGGCTCCTCTGCCGAGAACACCAGCACCACAGTCTCCACTCCAGGCAGCTGATCTTTAGAAACTGCTGGCGGAGAGTATGGCATTCTGTCCACCTCTGCCATTTCATATGGTGCATAGAAGATGGGCTCTACATTTTGCAAGCAAGTCCTGGATTTTCTTGAAGAGACAGAACAACTTAGGTTGAGTAGAAAAGCTATCAAATACAGTGCTAGTGACTCACCTCATTAAATGCATCTTGCCAGTGGCCTCACACCTTGTGAACTTTTCCTTTAATTTATACTTTCATGGCTGGCCACTCATTTGGCCACTCATGTTGACAGGCAATGGCCTTCTGAGAACACTAGCTGGGACACTGAGGCCAAATAGAAAGTGGAGAAAATAGCAAGAAATATAAAACTGCTAGTCTACCTTTAAACCAGGTGGTTGGATAAATGGTCATGGTGAAATCTGAGCACAGAAATACAACTATTCTGTTGATATTAAGCAACTTTATCTACTTCAGCTTCAAAGATGAGCCAAAAGCAAAAAGATGTATTTCATTATAGAGGAGGAGGAAATAGATGTTCACAGGTTGTTGACTGTCCTTGAACTGAGCTCCTGACTCAGAGGAAATGTAAGAGTATGAAGAGGAGCACAGAGGAGATAGGAGCTATTTTTCTACCTGGATTCAGCAACACTTTCTATTACAAAAACAAGTCCAAATATTTGTTTCCAGAAGATCTCAAATGCTCTATTAGTGTTTAGTGGAAACATGTCAGGGTCAAGGGTTTCCCAGGGGTGTTGTCTGAAAGATCTTGTGAAATGCAGAATCTAAAAATCTGCCAGAAAAGACCTTTTGAGGAAGGTGAGCTATGTGAGGACTGTCTGTCAGGCTTGACCTATAGGAGAGGTTAAGTTGAAGTTTTCCAGAAAACTTACAGATAAAGGAATCTGTGTCTTGGTGAGACAGGGTCTTGTAAAGGCTTCACTCAGACTTCACTATGTGTTATAAGGATAAGTGTGAATTTTCTCATTTGAGGGGAGGGCATAAGAAGTGTTTCTAGGTGGGCAAAAGCAGGTTGCAGTGATTCAAACAGCTGCAAGCAGAGAAAAAGCCAATGTATGATGGTAACCCTAAAAATTGAGGGTGTTGTGGGAGATGGCAGTAGAGAGTTTTCATTATGATTGAATATTAATTAGTGACATGGTTATTAATGATGACAGTAATTAACAGAGGAAGGAAAGACTTGTCATTGTCCCGAGGATGAGTAATCAGTCTTGGCAGGTGATAAATAATGGTTCAGCAAACTCAGCAGAAAGATAATCTGTTTGCCTTAGGACAACTGGAGAGCTGCTATAAAATCTTCCAAGCTCTTGGCAACATTCAGGGATTACTTCATGTTTTTAACATAGAGAAATTAAAATCCCTGATCTCAAATGGTGCTTATATTCCGGAGTGGCTGATCACAGGAGTTGTGACTGAGTTGGTGCCTTCAGTTTACTTTCAGCTTTAAACCTTATTTTTAAATCTTAATAGTATGGGGAAGAAAGACTGGGGAACTTTCGTCATTGCTTTGATTTTCTGTTGTTTGGTGAAAACTGAATAGATTCCTCAAAAGAGGCATAGAGCTGTGGTATTTTTTTGGTTTTGTTCATTTGGTTGGTTAGATTTTTTTCTGTTTGTTTGGTTTTGTTGGGTTGGGTTTTTTTTGTTGTTTTTTTTTTTTTTTGGGGGGGGGCGTTGTTGTTTTTTTGTTTGGGTTTTTTGTTTGTGGTGGGTTTTGGTTTGGTTTTGTGTTTGTTTTTGTTTAATTTGAGTGGGACTTAATCTTGCATTAAATATTCCTGTATATACTCGGTAAAGGACTGTGCAGAATGTGCTTCACCTCCCTTGAGCAAAGTAATGCACTGCTCCAGATGATTTTCAGATATCAGTTTTCATGTCATTTGTTGATAAGATCCTGCAAGCCCGTAGTTTGAGACCAAAATCAAGAGGAATTGTGGACTTTTTAGTTCTAGGGATGAACAGAAAAACGAAAGAGGATTCAGGTTTAGCTTGAACTGAGGCAGCAGTTTGTGAGGTTTTGCTTTGTTTCTAATAATACAGATGCACTTCAGTTTGGGTCTTGAAATTATTTTCTAGCTCCAAATATTTTCTTCTGTCTTTAGGATGTTTCTGCTTTGTCAAAGGCAAAAAGGAACATCCATGTTTATAAAATATACTATTTTATTAACGAACCTGTCAAAATAACAGTTACTGGCTCTGAACATTTTCCCCATATGCTGTTCAGCCATCACTGTTCACTAGCAGGTAGTTTTGGACTCCTAAGACACATTTTTTTTTTTTTTTTAAATAAATTTACTATTCACTAAAAATAATGTGACTTTAGGATGCACCTGGCAAACTGGCTTCAATAGAGACAGGAAAGTGCTGGCATCATCACCAGAGGCATTGATTAGATGTTCTGCAATGTACTGCCTGCAGTTCCAGTGCAAAGACTCAAACTTGCATTTGAAAAGTTGCTGAATAGTGAAGGAGAAGGACAAACCATCTTAAGAGGACAAGAATTTGGAGGTAGGCAGGTGATGTGTCAGCCTTCTGTAGAAACACACAGGAGGAGCTATCAAGGAAGAAGACTAATTCTTTCTGTTAAATGATAATACAGGTTAATATCAAATGAATATAAGCTGCACATTAATGAATTTAGGCTGGGAAGTTATAAGAAGAATCCTATCAATTAAAAAAAAACAACACAAAATCAACCAAACAAAATCAAAATACAAAAAACCCCACCCCAAAACAACAAAAAAACCCCGCACTAAAAAAGGACTCTGGAATATCTTTCCAGATAGGATAGTGGCAACTTAAATTGCTCTGAGGTGGAGTTGGGAGATATGGAAACTGACAGTACAGCTGGGAATATAAGCTTGTGAGATTGGTCTGTTAGCATCTGGTTTGTTGATACCTAAAAGGCAGATGGAGACAATGCCCAGCTGCTGCTTGTTGGTCACATCTGTTTGCCCAGTATTTAAATAAAAGCAGATGCTTCCCTGGTCTTCAGGACCCCTCCTGACTGCCTGTGGGGGACAAGTTGCTTCACTTATTTTGGGTTGAGGAGGAGGAGGAGGTAGGTCAGGACCATATTTCTGCTCCTACTGAAGCCTGAAGAGGGTTTACTAGTGCTCTTTGTGGAGTTGTGGACCAGCTTACATTTTAAAGGAGAGCAGGAGCTGACATCCCCTTCCGTGTTGGGCAAAGCCCACATTTTTAGTGGGAATTTTACCTATATGGGAGAGTCATTCAGACCTGAAGACACTGCAGAAGCCTGGGACACTAGTAGTGCTTGCTGTCTCGTCTCTGTGGCACATCATGCTTGTGATTCCTGGCCTTTGTTGTATTTAAGGTTTGTTGAGGGTGTGGGCATGCTCTGGACCTGTGGAAAGCAAAATGTTCTTCAGACCTTTTCTGAAACAGGCATTGTGTGGATTATGCTGTTTCCTGAAGTACCCGCCGTGTCTGAACTCAGAAGTGCTCCATGCAAATAAGATCCTCTGGGTTTTGTTTAGGAAGCCTGAACCGTAAGGTTGATAATTTCCTTTTTGTATGCTGTCTTCAACTGATATATCACGGAGTATAGCAACAAGTATTACCAGGGCTATTAGCCTACTGTATGTAAATACAAATATTGTTCAAAATATTGATTGTATGCTGAGAAGGTCTTAGTGTTATGTCTGCATCCAGACATGACATCTTTACATTGTGCTGGAAGCTGCCGTAACTTGGCATAGACTTGCTGAATTGCCTCCACGTGCCTTTGCTGAGTGCCTTTGACTCTAGACAAGTCATGTGTAGCTGACTTTTGCACATCATTACGTTTAATTTTAAGCTTAACTTTCAGAGTATGGGGTTTAACTAAGTTTTGCTGCCCTGTCATGTTGAATTTTTATAAAAGGCCTTGGCTTCTTCTGAACAGCAACAATTTTTTCACTTGAGTGATTTGTTGTATGGATGCAGAGGATCTTTATGCTGTTTATGGGTTAGCAACAAGCTTTATACTACTTGCTGGGCCCTGAAAACCTAATAAACTATCTTTATCTCTTTCCTATCTAATGCTTGCAGAAATACAACTTCCTGTGTGCTGAGGTGAGACAAAAGCAACTGGAAGAGAACAACTTACATGGGACCATTAGAGTAATATCTGACATAAAGTATATCAAGTCTCCTGTCACAGAGTACTTCTTGGGCCTTAATACCAGTCAATAACTATAAAATTACAGTGTGAGAAAAGAAGGAGAAACATTCTGAACCATCAATGGACATAAAAAGGAAAATGGAATAAAATATATGTCAGTTCTGTTATATCTATCTCAGTGTTCTCTCTCTCTCGGGCTCCCAAACCCCGTGGTCTCAGTGTTTAATGCTTTCTTCACCTTTTCCCCTTCTTTTTTTAAATCAGGTGCTGATATTGTGCAGTGGCTTATGAAGAACCTCAGCATTGAGGATCCAGGTAAGAGTACAGCTGGGAAGGAGCCCTATGTGTGCTTTTAGACAGTAGATAATATTTTGCTGCAGTCTAAAATACCAGTAGAACAACAAGGTTCACTTAAGCGTTGCAGGGAAGGAGGTGGGAAAGAGATAAGAATCAACATCTTAGTTAAGTCTAATGCTGCAACAAACAGAAAGTACTTTTCAAGAGTCTTAGCCTGTCTGTGAAATTGTTGTTACCTAAGAAAGCCTGACTGATTTTAAGGTTGTTACCTGGCTTAGAAAAGAAGTTAATGGATGTGTCTGTTGAAAGCAGGTGAACACAATGACAGGTTTTCATGATATATGGAGAAAAGTAGCAGTGACTGAAAGGATATACTGGCCAAGGATGACACAGACACCATCATGGGATCAGATGTTGGCTGCTATGTTATCACAACAGATAGATAAATGGATAATCAGCCATAACTAGTGATCAGTGTATGGGCCCAGTCCAAATAGTTCACTCTTCAGAGAAACCAAAATTGTTTTTGCACAGTTAAGAACTATTGGAAAAGGAGGAAAAAAAAGATCTGCAGGTCCAGAAGTTTCTTTTCCTTTTTTGGAAAGGGAAAAGATCCAGCATCTCAGCTCCCAGTTTGTTTCTGCTGCCTGCTGTCATCATGTAAAAGCAGAGACAGAAACAGTGTTGATTCATCCAGGGCATCCCTGTACACACATCCCTTCTCCTGAGTCCAGTCAAGTCCCAGATCTGAATTTCAGCTGCAGACAGTAGCCTGGGGGTATATGAGCAGTTTACATGTATTTTGCAACTCTGAGAAAGCTGATGCAGCTTTTGACAGCTGACATTGGTTGAAAACCTGTGTGGATGTACCTCTGCAGTGGTGAAGGCTGCCCTGGCAGTTGTTGGATATGCGCTCCCCTTTACCTCAGCACCATTTCCTCTAACAAATGGCAATGCTCCAGTGTCAGAATTTGTCTTTATGAATAAACATGCTGCTAATGACCTGGTGTTGCAGGTGTTTGTTGGATTTGATAGAAGCAAATGGGATTCACTAATGGAACAGGCTTCTTGTCAGCTATCACCTGTGGTGGTAAACGTGCTTTGAATTGAATTGCAGGCTCTAGAGCTGAAGTGGTGTGTGACATTTTGTAAACATAAAACCAGTAGGTTAAACATTTGAGCAGTTTTTTGTCTGTATTGTAAGGCTGATTTCTGCTGTTCTGTTTTGCAGCTTTGATTGGAAGACTTGTGCTGTGGGTACAGAGTCTTAGTGTATGTCATTAGTAGAGCTGCTGCTAAAAGCAGAAGAATCTGCAGTGTGCATCTACCTGACACATCCTTGCTGTTTTCTCTCTTTCACAGGGGAAGCAATACACTTGGGAAGTCTTATTGCTGCACAGGGCTATGTCTTTCCAATCTCAGACCATGTCCTTACCCTGAAAGATGATGGGACGTTCTATCGTTTTCAGGTTGGTGAGCCCTCTGCCTTCCTTGTGGCCCCTTTTACAGTCCCTGCAGTAATACTGCTGAAATTGCCCATTAGGTCTACGAAGACAGGGATGGAGGCTGTCTTGATAGGGGCCTTAGGAGGTTATTAAATCCTTTCCAAAATATCTGCTTTAGAATCCCTGATCACTTTTTTCAACTTTCAGACACACAGGTTTTACATAAATGAACTGATATGTCCTGTGATTATTTTTTATATGGGATTTCAATGCTATTGTACTCACAGTTGAACTAAACCAGAATAAAATGATGTTCAGGTTCTACCCCTGGCACAGAACTGAGTAGCAGCTCTCCTGTGGAAAAACTTTGGAGTTGGACATACAAGCTGTGACACAGCAGAAAATTCAGATTTTTATCCTCTCTTGGTTACAGACTGGTGGGGGGGGAGGCAAGCTTCAGACCTTGGCTCCTTTACAGGGGATGCGTGACCTTGGCAAGTCACCTAAGCTGGGCCATCTCTAGCCCTCAGTGTCCCTGTGCCTCCAGATGGGTTGAAATTTTAAAGCATCCTGTGCTTAAGTTCCATGGCCTTTCCAAAATCTGCTGCTGTCATCTTCCTAGATAACTGAATGCTTGTGCTGCAGCAACTCCTTTTGGACAGATTGTATAACTTCAAAAGAAGCAATAAGTTCAAACTGGGAATTCTACTGCCTAATCCTGGTGGCTGAATTTGTTTTTCTGTTACATGATCCCAGTCAACTCAGTTACCTTTCCTATGACCCCTCTTCTGTTCACCCTCTTGTTCCTCCTTTACATCTTTTTGCTTGTTTTTATTGTAAAAGCTTGTTCTCATGTTTACATCTGATGTTACTGCTGCGCATTCTCATTGTCCTACAGCTAATGTGATATTGTGTTATTATACGAGACAAAAGGCACATTGAGCAGAGGAGCCCAGGAGATCACAGACCTCCCCTTATCTCATTCTACCTTCTGGTTAACTGGCATCATTCAGGTGAAGGTTTTTTATGATAGTTTCCTTGCTTTTTGAAAGTCCTGCTCCTCCAGTTATGCAAGACTTGACAGAAGCAGGTGTAATACTGATTATGCATTGAGTTGTGTTTTTCTCTATTTTAAAAGAATGGCACCATAAAAAGTTGTCCTGTGCAGCTTTCAGGAGCTAGATTTCAATACAGTTTAATTTCTTTTCCTCACTTTAAGATTGTGAAAACCACATCATCAAATTGTCTTGACTGCTTATGGACTTTTGTTTCCCTTACCTTTTCCTGAAACTTTTGCTTATTCTTTTCCTGTTGTCATTTCCTGCAACAGTTGTACTTGGATGCTTTCTGCAGAAATAACCTAATAGAATTAATTTTCTCCTCCGTTGCTCTCTTCTCTACATCAACATCAATCCCTCCTTTAACAGTAGCTCATCATCTTGTAGAGTTCCTAAGACACTGAGGAGCATTGAACACTGTGCTATTTGATCCTTCTGTGTTTCCTCACTGTACTTGGTGCAAGGAATAGTCTGTGTGTGTAATATGCCCATTTGTGGTATAACATCAGTAATGCAAAACAGCAGTCTGTAATTTGTGGGATCACAGGACATTATTTTTCATTCATGTTAAAACTGAAATACAGCCACATGTAGTAATATCTTGTAATTAATTGTAGCAACCGCAATGTGCAGATCTGGAGAGAAAACAAAAGCAGTGAGCAGAGCAGGACTTCTGCTTTCAGAACAACTCTAACCAGCTGAATTTTGACCTCTGCCATCTGTTGTAGCTAACAAGTAAATTGTTTTGTAGGCTCCCAAACATACTGGTAGCTGCTCCAGAAAAGCAAGTAGCATATATAAAAGGCCATGAAGTTTCTCATTATCTTAAAATAAATAAAAACAATTTTTAAAAAAATGAGGGTGCCTGTGAATTCCTGGGGGAAAAGGTGCTTCTGGGGATAGAGGGTCCACAGACAGATGAGAGCGTTTCCTCAAGAGATGCTTTTACTGCAGCATCTCTACTTACCTGCAGTGAGGAACGTTACAGATGATACCATCCTGGAGAAGCTTCCTTGCTTTTGTTGAGATCTTTAGCAGTGGTACCCCTGAGTGCAGAGTCTGAGCCTCAGATGTTGTGATTCTTCCTTTTGTGCCTGGAATGTTGTTCTGCATCTGAGTTGTTTTTCATCTCTTAAATTACAAAACTGTGTATTTTGTTTCTTAGGCACCCTACTTTTGGCCTTCAAACTGCTGGGAACCAGAGAACACAGATTATGGTGAGACAATAATTATTGCATTGTAGCAAGTTAGAACAGAAAATTTATGATGGAAAAAATTGTCCTTAAAGTAATTACTGTTGGCCATCTAAACCCTTCATCAGCAGTGTCTTGTCAGACTGCAGGTTCAGAGGCAGATATGTGCCCATCTCAAGTACATGAAGTGAAATCCCAGGGTATCTCATGTCCATGGAGTTGTAGCCGTTGAGTTCAGTGGGGCCAGGGTTTTACCTGCTGTTACTTCAGTTCTCCCATAGGCAGAACACTGCCCCTTGAGAATCTTAAATAATACCAATATTGCCTTTGTGACAGAGCAGCCTCTGATCTGTAGCTGAATCTGATGTGTTGATCAATAAAAAGTTACCTCATCTGGGCAGTCATCTCGCTGATCAATAAACCAGTATATAACTGGTGTCAACCCATAGTTAAAGTTCTCTGATATATGACATCAGACTTATTTTTTCCATTTTTTTAAGATTACCAGATGATAGCTGGTAAAAAAGACAGGACTGAGCACAGTTTATGAGCTAATAAACTGCAGTCTTGTGTGTTAAACATGTGAGTGCCTGCAGACAATGATAATACATAAAGAAAATATGTCAGTGTTGTTATCTTTAGCTGTCTGTGTGCAATATTGCTGTCTCTTCTAAAACTGCAGTTCTTTCACAGTTAAATGATTAAATCAATTGCTGCATCCTGGTGTGGCACTGGAAGAGGAAGTGAATCCTGTGTGTGTTCATAAAACAGGAGCTTCTGGAAGTCCTTCTTTTAAAATGTCTCATAATCTAAGATCAGTTTGAAACTTCTCCCTGAATAATCAAGATTTATTATTTTTTTTCTTTCCTGGGAAATGTTTAGTCATTATGATGGATTCTGGGAATCATTTGCTGGGCTGGAAAAGTAGCCTGCAATGGTGTCTGTCATGTAATAGCCCATTTGCAGTCCTCATCTGCAGGGAAGCTAGCACAGGCTTATGTATTTATCCCAGGAGAAAACATGAGGTTGTTCTTCATATGCAAAGCAATATTCAGATTTTACAGTCACCATACATAATTATCTGACCTGTGCTAAGTATGTATTCTAGAAATATCAGAATAACAATCTGAAGCAGGAAGTTCTGGTTTTTCCTATAGTATCTGATAAATAACTGTTTTCACAGACAGATTATTGTGCTGCAAGGGCATTGAGTGGAACAGTACACCTCAAGATAAAGCCCTGTATGAGCTGACCCACAGCTGGACAAGCTGCAACTGTATTAGCTCTGAGCCCTGTAGTGACAGATTTTCATCTGTCCCAGAAATCTCTAACATATGCTTATAATCAGTCTTTGCATATCAGAGGTCTGTACAGATGGAGTCTTCCCACGAATTAATCCCAAACTAGCAGTAGATGCAAATAAACCTGAAATCCCAGCAGCACTTCTTACTTTTTTTTATTTGCATGGATCCACTCACAGGACGGGAACTAACTTGCTTATGGCAGGTCACTGCCTAGCATGAAGAAATACTGTGAGATGACTGACTCTCACTTTATTTGGTGTTTTAAATGGCTTACAGATGTAACTGCCCTTGAGATATATAAATATGCATGAACTGATCAGCTCAGGCATAATATTGGCTCATTGTATGAATGTTAGAACTCCAGGAATAGCACATAATAGAATTACAGGAGTAGCACTGTTTCTTTTCATGTACTTTCAATAAAATAATAGGTTTCCAATGAAAAACATCCACGAAAAAAGTCTCAGAAAGCTGTATTTACCAGCAAATAAACCCCCATGGTTTTCAAAGAAGGGCTGAAATTTTCCAAGAAGTATTAATTGCAGTTTTCTTCAGATGATGCTTTGCCTTCTACCCTACTCCAGTTTGGTTCACTGTTGGACAATGAATACCTGGCCCTGCAGCACAAGAGAGGGCAAAACACGAGGAGGCTATAAAATTAATATCTAGATTAATCCCAAAGCAAGGGCACTGGACCTCTGTTATGTAGTTCAGTCCTGACTGTAAGTGTGATGAGGAGCTTGTGTTTCAGCCTGTAATGGAAATGGGGTGAGCTAGTAGGTCCAGATGAGGCTTCCCCAGAAGGCAGCCTTGGGCTGCATTGGTGCTGCGCACTGGGCTCATCTTGACCCTCAGAATCCTAAACCACATCAGTTGCTGGGGTGTCTACCTATGGTGAATGTCAGAAGGCCATTCAACATTTAGAGTAAGTGGTTAGAACATATTAAAAAATACTCAGATTATACACCTAAGATCTGGCCTGTATTTCTGTTTTCATTTCAATATCCTGAAATGTATGAATTAATTAATTTATTTATAATTTTTCTGGGAAAAGGGGAAGAGAAGTGCAGCGCTGCTCACTTTGCCAGGCATATTCCCAAAGTGCTGAGTGGAACAGGTTGCTAATGCTAAGTCTTTTTCCAGCCCCAGAATCAATTTTGTCTTTCTGAGACATCTAGTTAGGTCTTGGCATCTACTCTCAGCACTTTTAAATGAGATGTCCCCGATGTTTAAAGCCTCTGAGATTACTAGTAGGTAATGTCAGCTGGGTTATTCAGCCCTCTCATTCCTTGGGTCATGTTGCTTTTTAATGAGAACAAACAGTCGATGGACCACTTTTTTTTTTTTTTTCCCCTTTTTTACGATCTAGTACTAATAATCTGTCTGTAATTGATTTCCATTCTGTTTCTCTCTTTAGCCATCTATCTTTGCAAACGGACCATGCAGAACAAAGCTAGGCTGGAGCTGGCGGATTATGAAGCCGTAGGTACACTGTACACTGCTGCTAGAGTTTCAGGCTGGGGGGGGCAGGAAGAGCTTTGCTTCTCCATTGAGTGTTGCCATTTTGTGCTTTGGGTTCAGCCTTTACTGTGTCTTTTTTTTTTTTTTTTTCAGTGGTCAGAATCATGTGGATGTTGATCTGGAGACAACATCAGGGATATGATTGGGGAACATCACAGGCTTTGCAATATTTCAAATTAAAGCACCTGCTGTATAGCCAGCCCTTCAAGACTGGGGAAACTATATATAAGTTTACCTTGGTTTTCTCTTTCCAGTTAACAGTTCCTGGTTTATATAGCAGATATTGACACATGGAAATTATGGATTTTCAGGTGCATTATTGGACAACTAAATTGCTGATGACTCATCTAGTTATCAAAGTTTTCATACATTAGGTTGGATTGTTTTCAATATGCCATATTAAAAACTATTGCTCAAGCTTATTCAGAACGTGCTTCCCATTATGAAACAATTGTCCATAAAAACATCTCCAACCTTGGCTTCAGATTGTGCAGGGTTTGGGTGGATGGGAGTGGGAAGATGGAGGCAGGAAGGGGAGGGCTGGTATGAGTTTCTTTGAATACCAGCAGTTTAACACTGACCAGCTGGACTTTTCTGTCTATCATATTGATTTCTTTTGTTTGTTGGCTCAATAGAATAACAGCTGAATTTCAAATGTGCAGTTTTGCTGAAGGGTTTGTTCATAAAGCTGGCTCTAATGGACTTCTGTGTTCATGTTTATTACAATGAAAACATTTATATTGCATATATTTTAGGGTTTTTCTAAGAATGGACTTCTTCCTTCTCCCTTACCTTCTATGTTTTGTGACTTCTGTGCACATGGATATAAGTATACAGGCCACCTTGTCCTTTCAGTGAAGAGCATGCAAAAATTGCCATTTATTCCATTACCCTGGAAATGGCTCCAGTTCTAATCTTGAAGTACAAGCATAAGAGAAGGAATGTAATGATCTGCATGCACTTGCACATCCTTTTGCTGAGTTTTCTCTTCTGCATATTGTTGATTTCATTATTAAGACCATTAAAATTGCTCATAGCCAACCAATTAACTGCAAGTACTCTAAAGATCTATCATGAAGCAACAAAAGGCTGTTCAGCCGCGTACACACTCCCACACACATGCAGCCAGGCCATGGCTAAGTGCTTCTGCACATCGTTGTCTACTAAGAGTAGCAATGCTCCAGTGATGGCAAATAATTAGATCTTGGCAGTGTCTCATTTTTCTTGTGAATATTGCATTGCACAATTAGAGATTTCTCCTGCATTCAAACTTTACTCTCTTAATTAGAGACAATCAGATAAGAACGGCGCTGAGTCTTCCTAGTCATTATGGGAGCTGAAGCTGATCCAACAATGGGGAATGTAAGCCAAGCACACGGGAGAGAAACAGGCTTGTGGGAGTGGGAAGAAGCCCTGTGTATTTAGTACAGTCTTTTGGAGATGTAGTATGAGAATGCTTCTCCGTAGGCATCACCACTGACCTGGAGCTTCCAAAGAGGATCTCTGCAAAGCATCCCAGGGGACATCATCTCATTTTTGGGTGCTGCTTGCATCATTCAAGGACAGTCCCTCACCCCTCATTTATACTGGTAGAGCAGAGGTCTTGATTATATGATTGAGCTTGTATAATTGCATTAAGTTTTGTTTTGACTGGTACACACGATTCAAATATTGTTTCAGTTGGTGATGTTTCATTGGCTTCAGCATATTTACTCCAGAGGGCACGTGAACATAATTTAAAATAAAATTAAAAGAAAAGAAACGCCCAAACGTTGTTTTTGCAGATAATCACAATTAGTTCTCCCTTGTAGCCACATTAAGGAAATAATTACAGTTCAGCAAAGTTATAAATAATTTGCTTAACTGTTTTCTTCCATGTATATGGACTGAAACTCTTACATGGACTTGGTGGTAACAGGGCCAAGCTTTATGCCTTGTGTTAGACAGGAGTTTAAAGTCAATAGGAAGATTTCTTCTAACATTGAAATGCATGTTCTTTAGCACTTTCTTGAAATAAAAAGAATAGGTATAAAAAGAACAACATTAAAACTAACTTGAACCAGCTGTAATAGAGGAGAATGTCAGGTTAATGTACTTGTAAGCCTCCTTGTCAAAGTGGATGTGGATATGTGACATCGGGGTGCCATTTGAGCCTGAAATTCTGGCCAAGTCTTGAGTTTGGCCTTGAGCTGTGTTGAAGTCACATCCACCTCCAAATGTTCAGACCATGATGCTTTCTGTAATGGGTCTGGACCAGAGCTCTTACTTCAGATGCAGAGCAAGGATGCATCTGGACCCTGTCTTTGCAGTAAGGGATGTTCATTGTTCAGACAAACAAGCTATTTCCTTTTGTGAATCATCCTGGCAATCCCCAGCCTGCAGTGCTGTGCAGCTGCATAATGCTCTCAGCAGTGACCAGGACTGAGCACAGCAAGGGTTGCGCAAGATTTGCACCTCAGCAAAAGCCTGAAGAGAAGAGAGCAGTAGAGGGAGGAAGGGAAAGTGAGAATGAGAGGGAAACATGCAGGTGGCAGACATCTGCTATCAGAAATGAAAGTCATCAGCTTCACAGAGCTTCTTAGTGTTACCTTTTGGGAGTATGTCCATCATTATTTTCATACTAGAGCTCAGGCTGCCTTCATCACACTCTGTTACTACTCCTTGACAGGTCCCTCTTAGCTGCAGCCTGAAAGGATGTGTTACAGCCCTGCTTTGCCTGCAAGATACCAACACTGATTTCCATGTCTTGAGTTTTCTAGCTTTAAAAAAATGGAATAAAATAAACTGCTATACTAACTGTGCTCTTAAGCAGTTGTTATAATTACGGGGATTAATTGTTCTTACTGTTTTCATCTTTTGTTAGGAAAACTTAGCAAGACTTCAGAGAGCATTTGCAAGAAAGTGGGAATTCATCTTCATGCAAGCTGAGGCCCAAGTCAAGTGAGTAATCCTGGAGCACTCAACTGTACCAGTGTTTAGAGCTGTGAGGGGAAGGGGATTCTGTACAGATAAAATTTCTATCAGTCTTTACTGCCACTAAGTTCAAAAGGTGCTGATGAATTTTGGCCACTGGCAGACTAGAAACAATAAAGAGCCAATTCTGAAGGCTTGTGCCAGAATCTGAAAGATGGTTTTAATTATCTGTACTTGGAAGTATTGGTCAGGAGCTCCTGAGCCTGCATTCACCACAGGAGCTTGGACAATTCACTTGTCCATTCTGCTTCTACTTTTGTGTTGGGCGTTGTCTGTTTTTTTATAAACAGGAAGAACAGGAATTTGTCTTCTGTCTGTGTTACTCTAAGCTTGTAAAGTATTCCTCAGCTTAAAAATACTGCCACTTGAAAGAAACTATAAGGGTGATACCTACAGCACACTGGATTTATTTTTTTTCTTGTATCAATTTCCAGTTGACTACATTGTACCTCTGTGCTCTTTAGTCCAACTTGTGCTACTAAATGAGCATAGAGAATTTGGTACCACTTACATGAATGAAACTTCTGCATGTATTTGGTGTTTTTGGTGTTTAGTATTTGGTGTTTTTGTATCCTCTGCTCATAATTGAAATTTACCTATTTTTTTCAACTTCCCTTGTGAAAACAGTTTGAAGCTTCTTACTGTTTTGTGCATGTTTTCATTATTGTTGCAAAATGAGTATGGTCCAGGGTTTGTAGAGGGTGTCTAGAAACTACTGTCTAAAACTCTACATGTCCATTTTGTCAAGTAGTTGTTAGCTATAGAATAGAAAGGGTGAAGATGATGCATGAGAACACCCATACTGACACTCTGTACCACTATAAGGAATTTGCACTTTCAGCATGTTTAAAAGTTAAGGAACATAATTTCTTGAGGGTGTGACTGAGGTATATGTCTCTATCTTTGATTAAGCCTTTGAAATTTTGATTAATTCTTTGCTTAATAACATTGTAATTATGCACTATTTAAGTATATGGTAATTATCCCTTAATTTACAAGGTAATTAAGGGATTTTTCCGACCAGAATACCAGTGTTCTGTTTGGAAGAGAAAATTAGAAGTTAAGATAGCAACTGTACTTTCAGTTACTTAAAGGCTTATTGCCAGGACAAAAAAAATAAATAAATATATATATATATAAGTCAAACAAAATTTTAGCATACCATTATTAGCTAAGAAAGAAATGTAAATATCAGATTCTTGACATGATCACTGTTCTTTATTCATCAGTTTTCTTTGATAGTGACCAGTCTATGCTTCCTTTTCAACTTTTTTTGCTGGCTAGTTTCATCTCCTTGGTTCCCAGTTCATGTAATTGTCAGTCTTCAAGTTTCTAACAAGGCAGATCTGGAATTTACGGTGTAATTCATAGACGTAAATTAACTAAAAAAGAAAACAAACAAAAAATACATTAAAACATTCCTCCTGCTTATCAAGTTCTGCTCTACCTTCCTCATCTTTGTTTGCACACGGAATTTCCACTGCTATATCTACGTTGCTCAAAAAACACATGGAACATCTAATTAGGTTGTGTCTTCGTAATTTAAAATGTAAGATATTTAGATATCAGTAAGTTTTGGGGCTAGGAAGCAAGAACCTTGGTTCAGCACAAAGCACACGTTAATGCAATTCATGGAGCCTCTGAAGAGTCCCTCCAGTTCATGTGTGGCACGAGATTGGCAAAAGACTTCAGCTTCCCCTCTGACCAGGCATGAAGGACTCCCTCAGCAATTTTTGGGCTGGGTGCCTGTGTTTGCTCCCCAGTGCAGAACAGTGACTGCTGTCTGGCAGTGCTCTGTCTTTATGTGAGGACAGAGGTGGTGCAGGGCTGGTTTCTTGTCTCAGCCTTGCAGGGAGGATATTCAGAGAATGATGCTGAACTGTGGAGGACTTGGGATTTTTGTGAGGAGGCATGTTCTGAATCTTCAGTTTCAGTCCCCTATTTTATAAGCTGCTTTTTACCACAGACTTAGCCAGGGATCACTGCCCCTCCAAAAGAAAAAAAGAGAAGAGGGAGAACCTGATTATCAGCTGGTGTGGGTTTTTCCTCACTGCTCTGATTTTCCCAGGTGTTAGCAGTGCAGAAACCCAGCACAGGGATTCTGCTGGCTTTTCAATGCTGCTCTGGAGGCAAAGGAGGTTCCTCCTTCCCCGTGCCTCACCCAATCTCTCTGCAGATAGATCTTGCAAGCTGGTGGGGACTTTGCTGTGCTCACGTGCAGAGCTGAGCACAGGAGTAAGGCACCAGGAGGAAATTGCTCAATGCTGCTGAATGATGAGGGAACAGTTGTTTTGAACAACCTCTGATCACCTTTGGTGTGTGTTTTGAGTGAGTCTGCATCAGGGCTGAAATTACCAAGTGACAGTTGTGGTGGCCCAGCCGCCTGTCTGGTGGGTGAGCGCTGGTTGGCACGGGGCCATGCAGCACCCTCTGCTCTGGTTGCCTGTGCCTGTCACCCCTCTCCCTGCCAACACTGGGGTGAGGACAGAGCCAGTGTGTTGAAAGCCCTAAGTGTTGCTCATGCTGTTTCAGCTGGGGTTGCCTGGAATGACTGCCCCTTCACAATCCATGGTCATGCCAGTGGTGCTGCTGCAGCATCAGGGTGCAACAGGGCCTCCCCATGTGGACCTCTGTCCAGCACTGGCCAAGAGCTTCACCTGGAGTAAAGAGGTCCCAGTGGGTCTCCTGCCAAAGCCAAACATGAACTTCCTCAGTGTGCCAAATCAGGGATTGGGAACAGAGTATCAGGACAGTTTTTTTTTCCTCTCCAGATGAAAAAACAGATGTTAAAGTAAATTTTCCACCTTAATAGGAAAATATCTTTTGACACATATGGGAGTAAACAACAGTGATATTTTGCTTGTGGCACATGGCCTTGCAAATGGGAGTGTGACATTGCTGTACAAAAATGGATTTCTGAATTATTTTTATCATGGGGTTAAAAAACCCCAGCCCTATAGGAACTGTAAAAAAAGAAGAAAGCATTACTTGTATGTTGACTCATGTTTTTCTGTTTGTTTTTTTTTCAGAATTGACAGAAAAAAGGATAAAACAGAAAGAAAGATTTTGGACAGCCAGGAAAGAGCATTTTGGGATGTGCACAGGCCTGTGGTAAAGTTCTTTTTGAATGATGACACTTTCCAGGATTTGACAGGAAAGTTTTATTGCTAATAAACTCTTGGCCATGTGTTGCATAAAGACATTGCCTTTTAAGTTACCACGTGGATTTTCCTTGCAGTTCAAAACACACAAAGTGTCTACAAGATTACTTTGGGCATTCAAAACTTGTGTATGCATGAAACTATAGAATTATATGATGAATGTGAAGTTTTGAAGGTTATTTACTGTGTATACTAAAGAAAAGCAGCTTACTCATTTTGACTCAAACTTCCTAGGAAAAGCACCTCTCTTAGCTGAGAGATACTTCCTTTTGGTGCCAAAAGTATGAGTAGATGGATTGGATGCTGACATTCCAACTTTGGATATATGCAGTCACTTGTTTAACAAGGATAATTTATGGGACACAGACTTCAGGAAAGAGTTTTGGACAAGATGTAATTGTGTATTTTGGAAAGGTAAGATGGTATGTAGATTGGAAACTGGACACCCAGAGATACGTGGGCCCTGATGGGGTGCACTCAGGAGTGCTGAGGGAGCTGGCAGATGTTATTGCTAAGCCACTCTCCATCATCTTTGAAAAGTCCTGGAGAACAGGAAAAGTGCCTGAGGACTGCAGAAAAGTCAGTATAACTCCAGTCTTCAGAAAGGGCAAGCAGGAAGATCCATGAAACTATAGGCCAGTCAGCCTCAGCTCCATCACTGGAAAGGTGATGGCACAGCTCATTCTGGATGTCATGTCTAAGCATGAGGAGTAAAAGATGGTTTTCAGGGGTAGTGAACATGGATCTACAAAGATAAAAAAATCATGCTTGACCAATCTGATAGCTTTCTATGATGGCATGACTGGCTGAGTAGATGAGAGGAGAGCAGTGGATGTTGTCTACCTTGACTTCAGAAGAG